CACACACACACACACACATGCACACGCGCGCGCACACACGCACACACACACACACACACACACACACACACACACACACACACACACACACACACACACACACACACACACACACACACACACACACACACACACACACAGGAGCCATCATCTCTAATAGCCTTTCAGCAGCAGGTTAATACAGGCAGCATTGGAGGAAGGAACTAAGCTCCTCCGGTTTCTCCAAACAGAGCGACTCACTCCATTGAACACAAACATTAATGTCCTCTTACTGAGCTTTTGGCTCCCAAGTTTGCTCAGTGAATTTGCAAAGATGGGGAATTGAGACATGTTTGTTCTGCTTTCTCCACATGACAGAAGATTAGACTCTGGGAGACAAAGACTGAGATGGCTTCCAGTGAGATTTGAGAAAATATGAAGTCTAGTCATGGTCCAAACTGAAACAATACTTTATTATTCTGATTTCCGTAATACATTTCCTCCTTTCCAATTAAAGGCTTAATTAAAGTGGTATGAATTAGACGTGTATGTGTGTGTTGGCTCTCTTAAATTTAATACATATCAATTCATTTCTGCTTAACACTGCACTATATTATATTGCAGCAAAAATAATCATATTTAAATGATTAGATTTAATTCCTTGGTGTGGAAACTCAAACCTGATTTCTCAGCTTTCTCATAATTTAACAGTTTACTGTTACATATCCTATCCTATCTTCTAACCCACAGCTTTAAAATTCATCTCGCTAAATACATCATTTGTAATTAGCAGTTAGATCAGCTGGTACCAAAACCCCAAACGTCCAGAACCTAAACTAGCTGTCTGATAACATGTCTGATGCTCTGGCAGTAGATTCTCTGGCCGTTGTACATAAACACTGTGTCAGAAAATTTGACCATGAACAGAAGAATAAAATACTAAAAATAAGCAATCCATAAATCTAGAATCAGTTGAAAGTCTGAACACACCATCACTCTTATTTTTAATTAGTGCCCAAATGGCTGTAAAACTAACATGTAGCTGCATTTTCATTGACCATATAAGTGTGCAAATTGGAATCAGGAAAATAGATTGGCTTAATGGAAACATGCCAATTTTGAAAATGCTTTTGAATAAAACATTTTGGCACCAGGATGAAGTGGTTTTCCGGTTGTATTTCACAAAACTGCAATGAAGACACTTTTTCCGAATCATTTGATCAACAACCAGATGCCACTGCTGGCGGAAAAGATGAAGAAGACAACAGAAAGTAGGCAGAGGATTATGGTGTGGCATGTCTTTTAATGACTCGCTCATATGAACAAATTTATTCACATGGGGGTTTGATTGTGCTTCTTATTTAATGGAAACTGTGGGGGTTTTTTTTACATTAGCAGAACACCAACAAAGTTTTATGCACATTTGTAGTGGAAACATATTGAATGGAATCATTTGATAAAGAATGGTATTATCTTTTAAATGTTGACATTTTGATTTTGAATTCACACGAGAGAGATTGTTGTCTCTTGGCTCTGGAGAAACAACAGAACTAATGCAGAGAATCTTAATATGATGTTTTGACTGGACACATTCAGGACTTCCATCTTCACATTACTCCCATAATGTGGACCATACTGTCCCAGAGGGAGGTGGAAGAACTTGTGGATAATGTTGCCCTTGGCTGATTACTTCACTGACAGAACAAAGCAAAAAGGAGACAGCTGAACAGTTCATTTATTCTTCCACTGGTGCCTCGGGAAGATGAATTCATTTCGATGGCTACTAGATAACCCAGGCAATAAACTCATCCTGTCTGTAGCTTAATAAACACACATTGATCCTCTCGTGGCATCCACTGTTATATTCTACTTCTATGTTAACCCAAAGGTTTGCTACTGCCCCCCTGGGATAGTAAATCCATATGTTTAGTATATTAATCTGTGTTGAAAACTATAATTTGTTTGAATTGTCATTAGAGTAAAATTCCTCTGGGTAATCACCTGAGTAAACCAGGAAGGATGGCTGTCACTGAGAAGACACTTTAAAGGTCTTCTGAGACAGGCCTGCAGATCATTACTGAGGCTCACATGTTAGTGTGTGACTAAATATGTTTAGTCACACACCAGACATGTTTAGTGTGTGACGAACCCTTTGGCTTCCTCACCTGCTCCACAGTCGTTCTCTGCAGCTGTGTTGTAACCGACAACATCTACATGACAGTATGCAAATCTGGTGCTGGCCCAGGATGAGGATCCTGCCCAGCCTCATCAGGACCAGGGTGACATCCAGACAGATGCAGCCCAGGTGGAAGCAGTTAGGCACTGGCAAGTCTCTTTCTTCAAGAAAAGACATTCAAAGATTTTTGGGGCTTTGTAAACGTTTATAGAACGTTTACCAGGGGATTCACAGCCATAGTCGACCTTCATGTGCAACTTGTGAGTTCCTCAGGCTGACCGAACCTTCCATGAGCCCAAGAACAGTTTAACCAAGATCCTCTCCTTCCTCAACATCAGCTGGTGGTAGAAGTGAATGTGGCAGAATCTGATACCGCTGTCGACACTGCTGTCTATATTAACAATATTTAGCTTATGAATTTTTAAAATTTTTTATGAATTTAGCCTTGCTATAATTTTTTACAAATTATTAACGTTAATTTAACGCAACTTCAAATGAACATTATTTACGTTAAAAAAGACAAAACCACCATTAATAAAACGATAACAACGTTAAATTAATAATTTTTTAAAATTCATAACAAGCTAAATATCTAAATCATTAGAGTCAGATGCTGCACATGGTTTCTCTAAACTGGTCTAAACTGTCAGAATGCTACAGAGATTTTTCAACAGGTTAAAATGATTGGACTATGCATAAATCGTCACTCATGCAAATTTTCTTCTTCTCAAAGCTGGAAAACGTCTGGTTCGGTTGGTTAGCTTCTGTTTTGTGGCGTTCTTATCAGAAACACTCTGAAATCTCAGGCAGGACTTGGTAACAGTCTCAGCTTGGAAATGTTCATTTAGAAAGCTCATGATGCTTTTTGGCTCCACAATGTTTGAAGCTAAATAAATACCCAGAGCTTACCTCCGTCTCCCTCGAAACCACACCGGACTCCATTGTTTTCTCACAGCATGGTTTGAGTTTCAGCTAAGATTTGGATCAGCTTAGTTTTTACCTTAATGACGGCCTGATAAAGGAGGATCAATCAGAAGTTTTGATCTGATGAGAAAATGCTCAACTTGAGGATGGCAGCTGGAATTTGAGTTCTTGAATCTGAATCATCACAAAAATGATTTTTTGGTGTGATTAGCACCACAGCAATCACTTACACTGAGGTACATATAAAGTGAAAAGATAAAATCCCAAAATAGAGAGTAAATGGTTTATTTTACAAAGTTATTTTTGCAGATGATTAAGCTTCTGAATATTAGTTTTATTTGCAGCCTGCTTACCTCGACATTGTGGGTTATGCTTCTGATCAGATTCTATTTATATCTTTGAATAAAAATCAATTGGTCAATGCCGGAAAGGAGAAAAGACTCGAGGGAAGATCTGACTGCAACACAAATCTTTTGTCCGTCACTGAACGTGATGGAAAAAGCTGACATTTTAACTTCTGTCCAATCAATAAACGGAAATTAGAGAGTAAACAGCCTCCAGCCTCATAACCAAGAGGCTCTAATGTCATCGAACCTGTTAATAAATCCCCAGTGGAACTCTTAAATCTGATACAGAAGTGTAGCTGTTAAAACATTGCTGCTGTTTCAAGTGAAAGTGACTTAAGTTTGACTTCGTCTCCTAGTAACCATTAACAGGCCCCATCATTATCATCATCCTCATCGTCATCTGACTTGGACATCAGATTCACAGCCCGTGATCAAAATAATCTGCTGAAGACATTGTTTTGGTTACAAAACAGCACATCGAACTTAATTATAATTATACCAATAATACAAATAATATATTTTTTAACATATTTGAATATACACCAAAATGAAAACATTTAATCAAGAAGCATCTTCAGTTCCTTCTCTGAAAACTGGTCTCACAAATCTGGGTGTGGTCTTTGACATTTTCTCGTCTTTTGACAATCACTGTAAAATGTTTATTCATCACTAATTAAACATTTAAGGATCATTGTTACGTTGAGACCATTTGTGTCACAGAATGAGCTGCGATAGTCTTTTTATTTGTTGCATCAAAGCTCCCTGGCTCACCTCCAGTCTGTACAGAATGCTGCAGTGAGGCTGCTGACTAAAACTGACAGCAGAGACATGTTACTGCTGTTCATGCCGCCAGTGCTCTGACTTCCGCTGCACTTCATGGTTCACATTTAAATTTTGATTTGAAATTTCAAGGCAATCCACGGCCAGGTTCCTGAATACAGTGTGGGCCTTTTGGTTCTTCAGGTTTTGTTTAGGACCCTGAACAAAGCCTAAACAACCTCAAACCCGTTTTAAAATTTGTGCAGGCGGTGCTGTGTGGACTGTGGCTCCCAGGATCTGGAAAAGATTCTTTATGGAAAACAAAACTTCAAAATGATCCAAATACAAAACTAAAGTGAGCAGCAAAATACCAAGAGCCGCTGTTCACAACAAAAAGATTTTTAGAGCCAACGCTGCTTTAGAGGAGCAAAACCATTTGTTGTCCATATTAATATATAGACTGCTCTATTTGCTTTCACAGTAGATATGTGGGTCAAGTTGCTGTTGGGAAACTGTAATCTTGGTTCACACAAACACAAACACCTACATGATGGCTGCATGACCCAGTTTGGACCATCTGGAAGTTGGTTTCACACAACGCAAAATGAAATTTCCAATGAACACAACTTTCTGAACGTCTCGGCTCAAAATGTCATCTGTTGGCTGCATCAGAAACACACAACTAATGCATTAGTAATGTCTCCATCATCAGCACCATCTGACGCAGTCACTCTCCTGGTGTAACCCCTCCCATCCCTGCTGGCACAAAACCATATAAATCTCTTCAGCTGCAGGTTGGAACCAACGTGCGTCGACCTGCAGAGCAAGATCTCACCGAGGAGGAGAGGAAGAGAAGGACTGCAGGACCCAGAACCTCTGCTGCTGTCAGAACCACCTGTGGCTCCAGCTGCTGCCTGGAACTTCATAAAGTAAGTCTCCATCCACCTCCAGCTTCTCCCTTCAGTTGATCCAGTCAGCATGTACTTAAGAGCCTTACTGTGCAACTCTGGAGCATCTGCTATTAAGTTTTTGTACATTATTATTATTATTATTATTATTATTATTATTATTATTATTATTATTATTATTATTATTATTATTATTATTATTATTATTATTATTGTTACTTCCCAGCTGACTCTAGCTACAGACATGAAGCTGAAAGCCTCTGTTTGTCTCCCAGAGCTCATTTGAAATTGAACAAACTTCTGATGAAAGTCCGTTCAGCACCACGGACAGCTCCGGACTGGGTTTGGGTCCGGACCTCGTTTCCGTGCTTTGCGTTTCTCTTTTCCTGCCTCAGGGAGATGATTTCTCCACAGACTCGGCAGGTCGGGCCTCAGTCGCAGTCTGAGCCCAGACTGATCTGAAGTGACATCCTGCAGCGCATTACAGCCGCCAGCGCGTCACCGCTCAATGAAGGTCTTTTAATTAGCGCGAGAAAAGGAACCAACGAGACGACATGCAGTTTGTTTTCTATAGGGTTCAACACGTACGCACAACTCTAATAATAATAATAATAATAATGTTTAACTAAACATTCATATTATTCGTTTGTTCATCATTTTCCATAAATGCATGCAGGGATCTCATGTGGATTTAAATTGAAAACTTTCTCTCTGAATGTATTTTGGTTCTGACGTCGTTAGGCGAGATTACTTTATTTTTTCCCCCCCAAGAACGACAGATTTATTCCTGAAGAGGCCAAAACATTTCTGAGGAAACTTCTGCTGTCTGGCAATTATTTACTGGGTTAAAAAGAGAATAAAAGAAACAACAAGAAAAACACACGTCTAAATAAATAAATTTATACCAAGTCAAACTTGGAACTGAAATGACGTTTTTTGTAATATCACATATTTATTTTAAATAAGACAATTAAAAAGAGCAAATCATGAGAACAAAATCAGAACTTGTAGGATTTTAAATATTCTCTAATTAACAAAGAGATGAATGCAGTGCAACTTATCTACAGGTGTTCAGGGATGAGATACATGGTATGCAAATAGAGTTCTGCTCTTTATAAAGAATGGCCACAGGCAGAAGGAAGCCCTGCTGCAGGAGTTATGGGTACAGCAGAGCTGGGTCTGTTGCAGACAGGTCAGAGCAAACAGTTCATGATGGAGAACAGTTTGCTGCAGTGACCTCTGACCCATAGCAGATAGAAACAGTTTCACATTCTTTCCCATGATTTTGCCAAATTCTGACCTTTGGTCCTGCAGACAGCAATAACCTCAGAGCGCTCTCCTGCACACAGCGAAGGGTTTCAGCTTCCTCAGGAGTTGACTTGTCATCGATGCTTTAGTTCAGCTTGATATTTACACCTATGAACATCAGCAAAGTCTAAGAGACACCAGTCATTGTTATCAAAAATATCCACATATTAATAAACCCTTTCTCTTTAAATATAATTCATAACCTCTCTGAGAACTTCCAGATACCATGCTCTTAAAAGTAGTAAATCAACTTTGTTTCCACTTTTCTCTTTCCCCCCCCATTTTATTTGTATTTTCTATGTTCTGTTCTGGCAGCTTGGGCCAACCGCTGCAGATGGCTGTGATGCTGAGACCATGGACGATGCTGGTGGCCGCTGTGCTGTGTGTGCTGGTCTGTCTGGGAGCGCTGGCAGACGCCTACCCTCCAAAGCCAGAGAACCCGGGAGAGGACGCTCCGCCTGAAGAGCTGGCCAAGTACTACACGGCCCTGAGACACTACATCAACCTGATCACCAGGCAGAGGTCAGTGCTCGTCCTCCATATCCCGCAGGGCACGGCGGTTCAGGGCAGACCTGTGGAACTTGTTTCAGTTTCATTAAGGATGACAGGAAGAAAAAGTCTGTATTTTAAAACTACTCAAGAATGACTTATTTTCTAAACACCTTGTAATCTGCAGAAATTCATTTTATTAAATTATCATTTTCTAATTGCTTCTTTTTTTTTTTTTTACTACTGAACAATATCCACCATTTTGCAGGTAGAAAAAAAATAACTCAGGATGTTAAAAAAAAAAAAAATTAATTGCATTAGGATGAAAACATTACCCTTGAATTTAGTTTTTTTTTCTTTCAACTTCTCCACTTGAGATCACATACATTTTTCTTTGCTTGAGTCACAACAGCAACCACTTCCCCAGTCCGGCCCACAGCGTCGACAACATGGGGTTCCTCCATGCGTGCAGCGAGCTGAAGCCGCTCTGATCAGATTACGCTTCGTTCCCTGAACCTCCAGGCCTCCAAATCTACAGCAGCAGAGCAATAAAACTTATAGAGATGGAGCCAAAGAGAATCCCAAATTTAGTTATCAGGGCCAAATCCAGGCCTGATGTTCTCAGGTGTAATGCACTGTTGAGCTTTTTTATTTAAAGTAGTCTGGCTCAGGGGCCATCTGCTCTCATTCATGAAAGTTAAATAGCTTATTGATACTTGGAGGCTGGAAAAAAGCAGTCAAGAAAAACACATTTGTTTCTTTTATGTCTTTCTGGAGACTTGTTTATGAAAACACTTTGTGGCCAATAAAATTTGTGACTGTTCCCACATTCCTGCTTCATATGCACCGCTGAGTTTAAAGAGCGGAGCCGTACTTATAGGAAACGGTGGGACAGCAGAATTGTTTTTGTGTTTTGTGTATTTATGCCATATTCAGACAAAAGCACAAAAGCTTTTGTGTGCTTTCAAAATGTAACAGAGAAATAAATCAAATCTGTACATTTGGTGGAATCTGGGAGAGGAAGCCAAGTTTTATTGGCCAGGCTTAAAATCAGTCACTGATAATTGGTTATTTGCTGAGATGTATTTGTGAACAAACCAAACTCAACCAGCTCAACTCAACTCACTGACTAGCTCACTAGCATCAGATTGTAGCCATGGCAACACAACAAACTGTGAAGATTATTCTTTGTACTTTCTCAACAAAAGAAAAAGACCAATTCCTTTAAATCCTATATTTAAATGATAAACAATTTCAAAATATTTCAATTGATCTCTGTTGAAATTGTTAAATTGAATTTCATAGTATACTCATTTTCAGTAATCAAATGTTAAACTTCTATGTATTGTCTGCGTTTAAGAATTTATGGGGCCCCTGAAGCCCAGGGCACCTTCTGCTCAATTCACTTATTCCTTGGCCTGGCTCTGAACCAGACTCACAGTTAGTCATTTTCACAAAAAAATACATTTTCAGAAAGAAACTGGAAGAAATTTTAAACTGTAACTCAGTATATTATTTTAAAGGTACTTGTATCTTCACAGAATTGACTAAATTCCACATCGGAGGGTAAAAACTAATAACCAGTCAGGGTATCTATATGAAGCATGCAGATTCAAACTATGGTAAAAGCATAAAAACAGAAAAATTAAGAAACTTCACAGTAAAAACAAATTTACAACCAAGAAAAAGAAATACTCTACAGTTATTAAAAATAGCATTCTCAGATCAAATGAAAAGTGCCACTGAGTGGAGTTATTTTTAACAAATATACAGTCTGTGAATATTTGTGTATTGAAAGCAGCAACATAAAAGAGATACACGAGGTTTAAAGTTTCCACAATTTCCTTCCAGATGAAAGTGGAAATGAGATAATAAGAGTCATGCAGGTAGAAAATATGGGCTGGACCGACTCTGGAGATTTATGGTGTAGAACTGACCATTATGAGACATGGAAAACATCCTACAGAATGAGACGGTACCAGCTGGGAATCCAAATGTGTATTTCTTGCCTGATTGCTTCCCTGCAAGGCACCACATACACAAACACACACACGCATACACACACGCACTTATGCACGCAAGCACACACATGCACATACACACACACTGACAGACAGAGATGAAGAAGCGTAAGATTGGATGCTGTGATGGTGGGGTGTGTTGATGGGAAAACAGGAGCTGCAGCTCGGGCTGCTGTGGTTTTGTTGTTTCTGTTAGAAAAACACCTGCAGTCTGCTGTCTGGTAAACCATGCAATGGTTTCACATGAAACCACTGATGCCCCTGATGCCCCTGATGCCCCTCAAGTAAAGGTGATAAGTGTGAAAGGGGGATAATGACTGCAACTCTGCATCACTGCTTTCCTCACTAACACTCACTTAACTTATTGTGTGCATTCTACCTCCGACTGACATCTAGAAAGATAAATGATGTAATATAAGAGTTATTATAAAATGGAAAACACATCCATATTTTTGATAAAACTGCAGTTTAATTGGATTTAAACTCAGATTTAATGTGTCCCTGTTCCAGATACGGGAAGCGCTCGGCTCAGGAGGATGTGGTCGCAGAGCTGCTGTTTGGAGGCGACAGCAGCAGAGACCAGAGATCAAGGTGGAGCACCTCATCCACCCTGGGGGGAGCATGCGTGTGTTTGCGTGTGTGTGGGTGTGTGGAGGGGTGGTGCATGTGATGAAGAACCAGATGCTGACTGGCTTCTCTCTGTCTGCCTCTCAACAGATTCGATAACTCTTTCATGTGGTGACGCTGCAGCCCTCCATCCTCCTCATAGTGCTTCTCTTCTGGGGCCTTCCCAGAATGCACCTGGAGGAGCCAACAGGTGCCTCTCACCCCCTCTAAAGCCAACAGAATGACCATCGCTGACTGGAGCACAAGCTCCCTCTATCTCTCGTCATTTCGACAACTTTGTTGTTCCAACAGTGCCGTACCGTAAATCAGTGTCCAGATTAAAACATGTGAGGTCACAGCAGCCAATCGAACGGGGAGCCGTGTCTTTGTGTCCCTCCATCACTGTATTGTGAAGACATTCTGTTTCGCTGTTGCCACTGCCGAGAGGAAGAACAGAGGATGTGAATAAAACCATTTTCTGTGTGATTAACATTTGTTTATTGCTTCCTTGTTAAGGGATGAAAGTCTGGGACAGGCTGAGCTGTATGGTGTGGAAGATCAATATTAACATGTTGCCATAAGTTTGCATGACATCATGATGGTTAGTAACATGATGTCATACAAACAGAGGTGTCCACACTGTCACAAGATCTTTTACCAAAAGATAAAGAGAATCCATCACAGAACAGAAACAAACATACAAACAGCCACACGGGGGCACAAATCCAGACTCAAACCAATTTTACCATGAAAATAGTGAGGATAGGACACATCGAGGTTGTGGAGCTTAAACACATAAAACATATTAATATGCAAAATATACAAAAGGAGGAACATTACTCAAAATTTTCATGTGCTCTTTAATTTATTCAGGTTATGTGTTAGTTTCTGGTCTATCCCTATGTCATAATTTTAATTGATAGCAAAGTGTAAAAACACACAAAGAAATGATGTCATTATAGACCTCATTAAGGAGTTTAGGAACAGGAGTGCGTCAGTGCTGTTTCTTTTACTCTAAACATTGTCGAAACAGTACACAAAAACTTTTAAAAAGCAAGTATGAATGCAGCAAAAATGGAATTACTATAATACTTAAAAAATATTCTGTTTTTCACCTTTTGATGCACAGCCTTAACCTCAACATCTTCACTAAATAATTTTTTTTCTTCCTTTGTTTGTTGCCTCTATATTTTTTAATCTATTTACCTGAGTTAAGATGCAACATCCAACCCTCTCCTCTGGGTGGCAGTGTTGCCCCGTTTTGGAACGAGTTGAAGGATCAGCAGAAAGCTCAGAGCCCTGCATTCAGTCACCAGGTTGTTTAGATCCTGTCTAGGAAACAAAGAGCTGGTAAAGTTTTCCATAACATTAAAGAAAAAAATAGAGATTTAAAGACTCCAGGATGTCCTTGGGGTTTTGTTTAGAACACAAACACAACTAACTGCTAAGTCTAAATAATTATACAAATTAGTGTATTTCTTTATGTAATTTGGTTGAAGATGTCTCATAAAATGACATGTACAGGGTGCATTCTGTCCCATCAGGGACAAGGGTGGTAGACAATGGATGGATGAATGTCTCCTAAAATGTTGTCATACTAAAAAGTTGTTTTTTTTTTTTTTTTTTTACTTTTTTGCCAAATGTGGGTTTTCGAGGGGCAGTGTGTGTGTGTGTGTGTGTGTGTGTGTGTGTGGTGTGTGTGTGTGTGTGTGTGTGTGTGCGCGTGTGTGTGTGGTTGTGTGCGTGTGTGGGTGTGTGCGCGTGATTGTGTGTGTGTGTGTGCGTGTGTATGTGGTTGTGTGCGTGTGTGTGTGTGTGTGTGTGTGTGTGTGTGTGTGTGTGTGTGTGTGTGCGTGTGTATAGGTCAGCAGAGGGAGGGGCTCTCTGGGTGAGCAGCTCGCGCGGTGTTCAGGTTAATGTTGCTGTGAGAAGCGAACAGTTAGCCTCGGCCAGCTCGGTGCGCCTCACGCGCTCAACATCTGAGCGCTTCGTGTTTAACCGTCAGGCGTCCGAATATTTTATTTTGAAGTTTCACGGAAGTTGCGGCTATTTTTCGGTCACATTGACACCGTCGTGGTTCCAAACGTCGACAACGAGCAAGACAACAACAAGACACGCACGAGACCCCCAACCAGCGGGAAGCCTGTCTCCTGTGTTCAGAGGTAGGAGGGACGGGGTCTCCTGGGTCTCCTGGGTCTCCGGGGTTTCCGGGGTCTCCTGGGTCTCCGGCCCCAAACAAAGAGCGGCGAGAGACCTGCAGCTCTCACTGCTGCATTCTGTCCTCTCGGTTGTTTAATGCTCATAGAGCAGGTGGAGCTGTGTTGTTGTAGGCGTGATGTCTGACTGTACACTGAGGTTATGTTAATGAGGTAAATAGTCTCTTTGTTCTCTGGACAGACTTTGGGTTGTACGCATTTTGAAAGTGGGCGTGTCAGTTTTGGTTGTGTATGACCTCTGAGACCAATTAGAGCCGCGCTCAGCATCTCTCCTATTGTGTTGGGAGTGTGATGCACGCACTTTTAAACAATATAACTCAATTTCCACACAGACTTGAAGACATCTGATTCCATGGTTCTTAATTTTACGTAGTGTCTGTTTCAATCTGGACTGTCTTTGATCAGCTCTGGGACACATGACAACTGGTCAAGCTGCAGGCTGAACTGTTGGATGGATGAAAATAGATTCTTTAAAATACATGTTGTGGTTAAAAACAAGAAACGATGTGATTTGTTTTGTTCATATTTTTACTCTTTAATTTTAATTTATTGGTCTGATGTGATAGTTGGCTGCACGGTGACACAGCAGTTAGTTGTTTTGTTCTTTTTGCAGCTCAGACTTTGTATTGTCTCCAGCAGCATGCATGGTTTCTCTCCAGGTACTACGGCATCCTGCCACATCTCAAAACATGACTGTTGGGTACATTGGGCCTTTTAAATTGTCCTTGTGAGTGAGTGTGTGCACATGGTTGTTTGCATGGTGTATCCCACCTACCTCCTTCCCCACACCACCCACAACTATGCAGAGACAAGCAGGTGCACAGTATGACTGGATGAATGGGACCAAAATGAAAAACTGCTGCTATACACGAGTCTAGAATCACTGCGATGATGTAAATATAGATACTTGATTTCTGTGATTCCAGTGAACCACTCCTGTCCTGCCATCGATGGCAGTGAAAACCTCAGAGCTGAGATACACACATCGGTTTCCACATTAGACCACATTTACAAAATGAAACAACTGTTCCAATTGCAAAACAACCATTTTACCACTGAGCCAGTTGCCCTCACTGTGAGGGCAGACACTGAAAAACAGCATCTTGTTTTGACTTTTTTTTTTATAAAAGCCAAAGAGATTCGAGTTTAGACATTCCAAACTCTTAAGTCATATTTTAATATTCAGTAAAACATTTTCTTAAAGGCTGTAGGTTCTTAACTTTAACTCTTTCTACAAAGCTACCAAATCTTCTGAAATCTTCTGATTCCAGTCGGCGGTAAAAGGGCCTTATTGAATGTAAACACCCCACCATCATCGCATCTAAACAAGCTACACATAAACAACACTTCTATCTCACGCTGCAGATTAGAACATCATCTTCTGATTATGTAAAAAATCTTATAGGAAGTGAAATACTTCATAAGATCTAATTTTTAATAATTATGTTCCTTAAAAGTCTAAAGCAGAGCAAGTAGAACCAGGCTTGGCTGCTCTCCAAGCCTTTGTACTAACACTTATTGGGCTGCGCTAACTGTGCCTGCGACATTTGTTTCATGGCTCAGCAGAGCAGATGGGTGGCGGTGGGAGATGAATGGAGGCGGCGCCGTGATGAGTGGGTGGAGGCGTGTCAGCTGTAATGGCGTGGTGGGGGGGAGAACAAGAACAACAATGGCTGACTGCAAGATGAACAAAAGTGAAGAAAACTATAGTTGATTTGTTTTCCTTAGGTATGAAAAAAAGGAAACACAGTATGGAAACTGGCCTGTTGTCATTCATCCATCCTTCCTTGTATCTGAACTTCCCTCAATGTTTTCTGTGTTATCAAGTCATAAATAACTTTTTTATGCTCACACGTTTGTATCCTGAAAAAGTCGATAGATGGAATAATGCATCTATCGGCATCTATTATATATCATTTTACTATATCATTCAAACACAGAGCAATTCAGAAACAGATAAAAATGAATAAAAAAACTACATGACAACATTTAAGGCACTAAAAAGATAAGGAATGATAAAAATGATAAAACATCTTTGGGGGAGCTGTAGTAAACAGTCATGTTCTCATTTCTGTGTAAAAGCCATCAGTTTCTGCATATCTCAGGTTTTCAGGCAGCTTGTTCCAGTGATAAAAGTAAATGCTTCACAGAGTGAGCATATGTCTGATGACCTGAGGATCTATATGGTTCATTCCTGAGCAGCTACTATGAAATAGCATTCATAATGTTAAAGGGGCAGTACATGTAAAATCCACTTTTTTGATCTTTGCATCATTTTATGTTATTCTGTCATCAAAAATATACCTGGAGTGTTGCTTTGATTCCTTCATGCATGTTTGAGAAATCCTTTAATCTCCATGACAACCATTCAGTTGTGCAAAACACCTGACGGGACCGAAGGCGCATCTCCTCCTCTTTCATAGGCATAGCTCCTCCCAGAGCTGCAGTTTTCATGCTTCTGAGCTTCTACCTCACAGAGCAGCCCTCCCCCACTCAGCTCCTTCAGACTAGCCGGCAGCAATTAGCAAACACCTGGTGAAACTGTGAATCTGCTGGATAATAGAGGAGCCATATTGTGATGACTTCCTGGAGGCAGAGTTTAAGAAAGAGCAGGAGTTTCTTAAAGAAACAGAGGCCTAATTTCAAGGCATTAAATTTGGAAGTAACATAAATTTTAAGTTATATGATACTGTTCCATTAAGTTCAATTGATCAAATGGTGCTGGTTGATATGTCGCACTACAGAGTAAAGCATTCCGCACTTCAAGGTGTCTATCAGATGATGAGTACATTTACTGTTAGGTTCATAACTCATATGCTCAAGATAATGTCTTGTTTCAGAAATGTGAATATAATAGTGATGAAGTTTAACTGAACTTGTTTAGATCATTTTGTACCTCACTGCATTTGACAACAAGTCTCAGCGATCCTCTTCTACCTCCAGGCCTTCACCACAGTTTATTAAAAAAAACAACAACAAATAAACAAACAAAAAAACAAAGGTTTCACTGAAACTCAGTGCCCATCAGCTCAGCTGGAAGCTGGTGGAGTAAAGAGTGATTCAGCATCATCAGTCTCACACACACACACACACACACACACACACACACACACACACACACACACACACACACACACACACACACACACACACACACACACACACACACACACACACACACACAGGTTCTTGAAACTTCATGAGCATCCTTGTTCAAAAAGGCGTCAGTGGAATGGTAGCACGGTGGACTCTGCTCGTAATTATTCTGTACATTTGATGTTATCTTTTAATGTCTTTCTTTTTTATCACCATAACTTTATTCTGTTAGAATTTTAGGAAAAGAATTCAGATTTTTTTCTATTAATCCAGATATTTGCCTATCTAATGAGGTATAACTAAAGGCCCCTGTTTACGAAACAAAGTTTGAGCTTTGATTTTTGGCTCCGATGTTTGAGGCAGTTAGGTTGACATCTCGCCGGACCTAGAATCACTGTCTGGATCTCAACTGTTTAATAAGATTGTGACGCCATCATACATGCATGGATGACTGTTAAGTCTGTGAAGACAGATATGATAATCGCCTTTCAGTCAATCCAGTTTTTCTTCCAGATCCTCATTTTGCCTCCCAGTCTGCTCTACTCTTGCCTAAGGTGTTGTATAATCTCTACTGCAGCAGTAAGCAGGGATGTGAGTGTGAAAGCTGATGGAGGAGCCGTTGCCATGGCAGCCATGTGATTTCACAGCAGTTTTTCATTACAACGATAGATGCAAAGATCGTCACATGTAAAGAGTGCCCTGGTCCGTTCTTACTTAGTCAAAATAAGCGTAGCTGAATGTGTTGTCATGGTGATGTATAGATTAGTTACACCAACATGCCCCTCCCTTTCCCGTCTCTCATCAGTATGTGCCAGACTTCATTCTGGAACAATCGCAGACGCTCCGCCTTCTCTCACCGATGTCACTGACTGCTTTGTGTGTGTGTGTGTGTGTGTGTGTGTGTGTTTGAAATGGTATGGGCTCCTTCTCTGTTTTTGTTGATCTAGATGGAACCAATGAAGAACTTCTGGCTGTTTGAAGGCAATGACTTGGACTCACTGTTCTGACAGAACATTGTTGATTTAATCAGTTTTAAAAAAAATAAAATTACGCTTATTTTTTCCCAATAGTTGAAACCAGAAGCTTTAATACACCAAATAAAAAGAGGATTCCACATTTTTTTCTCACTGTCTCACGTTAAAGCTGTAGTATGTAACTTTTATAAAAATATGTTTTTTATGTAGATATTTGTCAAAACTGTTATCATGTTGTGGAAGAATGTTATGACAAAGAATCTGTGAAAAAATGTATCCTCTTTTTATCCTTCCTGAGCTGCTATTCTCTGAAGAAATGCACTGCTCGCTATCAAGCATAGGTACTTGCTGCTAAATGGGCTAACAGTGGAAATTCTGCTGAAATTCTTCTTTGGTTCAAAATGAATAAATAAATGTGTGATGTACTTTTGTATTTAGAGAAAATAAAAGAAAAACCCTTGCATGATGCTGCCTTGACCATGTCTCTCTGTGGGAATTGTGGGTCAGTTTTTCACCACATATAGTGTTTTCCATCCATGCCAAAGGGTTTTGGTCTCATGTGATCAAAGCGTTCCAGAACGTACCTGTTATTTACTGTGTTTTCTCTACATGATCTGTGGAAAATTGCAAACAGAACTTTCATGAAGTTCTGGAAGCATGATCTCTCGTCTTGCTACTCTTCCAGAGTTGTGAAGTCTAGTTGTTTTCCTGTTGGGAGATTCTGACGTCTGATATCTGCAACTCCTCCATGGGCCTCTTGATTGCCTCTCTGGCTAATGTTCATAGTTTCCTCCCCATGTTCAGGTGATGGACTGACTTGGGATGCTGTTGTAAAACCTGACCCTGCTATAAACTTCTCCAGATCAGTCGCCGGGTTCCTTGGTCTCCATTATAGTGTGTGGAGACCAACTGATGTTGGTCTCCACTAACCCTAACCCTACCCTGGTCTCTGATGTTCTGCATTTGCACTGAGATTAGATTAGACACACATGGACTCCAGTTATCATTGGATTAGCATTGGATATGTATTGATTATGGGTGTGTGGGTGACAAAGGAGGCTGAATCTAAAGCACCTCACATGTTTCATTGTTTTTAGTAAAAACGTTCTTCCCCGAAACGTTTGAGGTCTTTGGCTGCATTTGGAACATGTAAATACAGCTCCTATAACTAATGATAAGTTTGTTCCCAGGTCTGTCATCTTTTTGCTTAAACTCTGCAGCCATTCTGCCACCCTGCTCTCCCTCTCTCTGCCCCTCTTAGATTGACTGAAGTTCTGCCATGCCTGTGGCCTCCACCAGGACAGAGCCTGGTGAGACCTGACACAATTCTTCATGTTCGCAGTTATCACCATAAGATTATTGTTGTCTGTCTGTTCTTTTTTTTTTTTTTTTTTTTTTACAAATCCTCCTTCCTTTCTTCATAAAGGCTCTTTTCTATGCATCAAGTGAATACAACAGTGTTATGTTTTTTAAACTTAATGTTGAAGTTTGCTGGGATTCTCAACTGCTGAATGTATGTTTGCGTGTGTGTGTGTGTGTGCGTGCGTGTGTGTGTGTGTGTGTGTGTCAGCTCCCCAGGTGTTGGACGCAATGAGTGACAGCACCACCAGCTCCACCATCGCCAATGACTTGGACCTCATCTACCTCAAAGGCATTATGGAAAGCCCTTTGGTGAGGCATACGAGTGTTTGAAGTGGAACTGAGATTTAAAATGAATACCTTAGTGTCATTTCCACTGAATTAAACCCCGGCTCACTGTTGGTGAACGTCAGGAGCAGGAGGAGAGCCCCAAGGAGCCGCGACTGTCGCCAGTGAGGGAGAACAACGTGGAGCTCCTGCAGGAGATCCTCAGGGATCTGGACCCGTTCACGCAGTGCTCTGATGCTGCTGCCGAGCTGGCCCGCATCCTCACACAGCCTCACTTCCAGGTGTGGAATGTACACAAATGCACCAAGGTGCATTTCAGGGCTTTTAAGCAGGAGCTTTGACTGACCAAAGATAAATTTGAATATCAAACCAGAATTCTGTCTTTTTCTTCCCCTTAGTCTTTACTGGAGACTCATGATTCTGTGGCCTCCCAGGCATGCGAGAGCCAGCCTCCCAGCCCGTGTGACTGTGTTGATCATGAACAGGAAGACAGTCAGACGACCAACCCGGCCCTGCCCTCTGATGCCATACGCATGGTTGGCATACGCAAAGTAGCCGGGGAACATCTGGTGAGAACATCACTGCATTAACTCTGTGGCCTGTATTCCTGCTCCAGCTAAACATGTCTACTTTCATCAAATAGCAAACATCAGCTTTTAAATATTTTTCCTTGTAAAAATATCTGATCTCATAGTGAATGTATTAAATGTTAACAGCGTCTGTCAATCAACTTCCTTAATATGTTAATGGAGAAACAAGTTACCATTACTGGAAAACCATTTTTCCACCGTCATTAGTGGCCATGCTAACGAGCCTTAGCAGGCATGGCTTCATTATGGTGAACTAGCTGGAGGGTAGCAGAGAACAAGGGATAAGGTTGAGCAGCGCATACATGTGGATGATTCATAGCACTATGACACTCCTCCTTGCTCTGATTGGTTGTTTCTGATGAGGTGTTTATTGGTTCAGATGACAGCAGATCTATAGAAGAAAGGCAGATTATCTCATTGCACTGTCATGACATAGAGATCATTTTAACAAACATGTAAAAAATATATTTATACATATATTTTATAAACGTTAGAAACATTATTCTGCAAGTCTAAAGGAGAAACGTTTCCAAACTGACCTCTCCTTGTGTAATGAGAAAAATATTTCCACTAATTGTTGAAGTATTGAATTTACTGTGACTAATGATCCGCTTTTTGAAATGTTGAGGTGAAGTTCACAAGCAACACTTAGCCATGACACCTTTATAAATGAAGCAGTCCTTCTAGAAAATGCATCTAGAATTTCCTCCATATTATCTAGCTCTTACATGGTTTAGCTGAGTGCTGTGGTTGTGTCCTGGTCCAATCACGTTCCAGAGACGATGGTAAGGTTGATTCTCTCCTGGATCTTTGACATTATGTCTCCTAACACAGTTATAGTTTTATCATTTGTTGATTGTTTGTCTCTAAGCATTTTCTGGATTCACTCAAACAGTTTTTGCTTGTTGTTTCAGGGGGTGACGTTCAAAGTGGAAGGTGGAGAGCTGGTGATCGCCCGCATCCTCCATGGAGGAATTATAGACCAGCAAGGCCTCCTGCATGTTGGTGACATCATCAAAGAGGCATTTATCCAATTTCTACCTTTCTCTGGGTTCTGAATTTGAGCTCTTAGACTTTATTTACTATAATCTACATCAGTGTTTTTCAAAGTAGGGAAACTTTCTATGGTTTGGGTGCCTGGTGCCTCAGAAAGCTTGAGCAAAGATGATAAAGAAAAAAAAAATTAATAAATGACCTAACTATATTTTTAAAGATAACGTTTGAATAATATATATCATCTAAAGAATAATAAAATAACTTAAAGAATAATAAAATCTTTAAGAATAATAAAATAAATTACTCAAATGTTATCTGCCATGCAAATTTTTATGATTGGCTTCCAGATTTATCCCAATGTTTTGCTCCTCAAGCTGCTATGGAGAGAAAGGGAAAAGCTGGATACTGCTGTGAAACAACAACAAAAAAACACAACCCTAAGAACGCCTGACCGACTAAAACCAGAAAGTATCAAGTTGCATTAATCTAAAAAAAATTTAAAAAGTGTGTGACAACTCTCTTCTACTCACACAGTGTGACATTACATCTGCTCCTGATTTAAATATTTGACGCCTCGCGGAAGGATGGTTTAAAGATATGATGAATGCTGTTTTTATATCTGGGCCCTTAACGATAACTCAGAATCTGTTAAAAATCAGCATGGACAAGTGACAAATGTTAATGTAGCAAGATTAGCTGCAAAGTTATGAGTCATTTTGATTTAAATTTATTTAATCAAGGACAGCACATTAAGTAATGTTGCATGTGAGAAACAGAGCAACCGTTGTTTTGTACACACATTTTCTAGTCACAGGTTTTTTTTGCAAACCCAATCCTCAGTTAGCTCTTGATTAAAAGAAAGTCAAATTAAATATTCTTGTCACGCACACACACGCACGCACACGCACGCACACGCACGCACACGCACATAGAACCCTATGCTGAATTCTGTTACTATAAACAAGAAAAGCATGAAAATATATTTTAGAAAAAGCTAAAACTCCACAACAAATGAGGTTAGTATTCATCAGTGTTGAATTGTCGTTATTGCTACATTGAGCTTTTTTTTTCATTCTATGTAACAGTTTATAGAGAATTACCTAACAGCTTCATCGTAGAGAGGAGCTTTGTGAATAATTAATTTGAACAGACTGTTCTTGTGTTCTGACAGGTGAACGGGCGAGATGTGAGCCAGGACCCCAGGGTGCTGCTGGAGGAGCTACAAGCAGCCAGCGGCATTGTGGTTCTGAAGATTCTGCCGAGCTACCATGAGACCATTCCACCAAGACAGGTGACACAAGCTAACACTGGAAGCTCTTCTGCAGTTTGTGATTTTTGTTATACAGATTGCCTGTTGAACCAATGAGTTGGGGAAACCATTACGTAACGCTTCCTGTTTGTTTGAATTTGTCCAGGTGTTTTTCAAGTGTCACTATGACTACGACCCAGCCAATGACACCCTGATTCCTTGTAAGGAAGCAGGCTTAAGGTTTGAGACAGGAGACATCCTTCAGATAGTCAACCAAGATGATGTCAACTGGTGGCAGGTAAGAGACTTGCACACAAAGCAATTGTAGAATGTAGAATTTATCGTTCAGGCTGTACAATCTAGAGATGGACCAATCCAGATACTGATATTGGATCGATTCCAATTTTGAAAAATCTTGTAGATTGGGTATCGGTCACAATGAACCCAATCCATAAGGGCAGATCTAGTCAGTCTAATTCTATACTTTATGATCTAAGCAATGTCCTGCTTTATTATTTATTTTACATTATATTTAGAATTCCTAATTGCACTTTCCGAATCAATCCGAGAGTGATTGATTCAAATAAAAAAACAGTTTTTAATCTAAAATCCAGCAGATTGCATGGAGGCACTGAGACGAGGTAGTCACTCTTCACAGATCAGAACACAGCGACAATAGACAAAACACTCGTGTTGTCGTTGGCTTCACAGCAATTCCTCAAACTGAGCATGCACTTCACAACTGTGGAGAGAGAAAAAACTCTCCTTTAACAGGAAGAAACTTCCAACAGAACCAGAACCGACTGGAGGTTTGAGAAAACAAAGTAGGCACAAGAGAAACAGCAGCAGAACTTTCTACTCAGCTAAATGCTAGTTCAGTGGTTCACTGGAAAGCAAAACCTCCAAACATTTTCATGTTTCTGCAGGAAACATTTTCATGTTTCTGCAGGAAACATTTTCATTTTTCTGCAGGAAACATTTTCATGTTTCTGCAGGAAACATTTGAGTATGAGAAGAACAATCAAGACACAAATTTTACTTAACGTTCTAATTGTCCTTTTTCTTTTCTTTTTTTTTTTTACTACAAAATTAAATTTGCGTCAGTATCCTTCATAGGAGCTTGAACTTTCCAGTCTTTGTTTTAAACACTAATATTTTGATCACTGCTCTGCGGCTGCGCTTGGTGTTCAGGCCCGACATGTGGAGGGTGGAAGTACAGGGCTGATTCCCAGTCAGATGTTGGAGGAGAAAAGAAAAGCTTTTGTGAAGAAGGATGTGGAGTTGGCACCTGCAGGTATGTGGACTTTCCAAATCAGGTGAACGGCTGAGACGCCAGATTTTTGTTCTGAAGTCAGTCCCTCAGCAGCTATGAACTATTGCTATGTTTAATGGTGCAGACAGTGGTAATTTCTGATATGAGTATTTTGGCCAAATGCCCACGACATTATCTCTTTAGATAAGCAGGACTCTTTGTTCTGCTTATCTAAAAAGATAAGCAGAAGTTATCTTCTTAAAAGGTGTTTTTATGGGAATGGCGTAATCAGATTTTTGTTCTTCAGAACAAAAAGCTGATTAAAACTCCAGTGATTTGCTGCCATCTGCTGGTAAATTTCAACATCTGTCCAGTCATATTTAAAAAATTTGAATACTTTGAAAAGTTTATTTTTTCAGTGACACCTTTCAGTAAAACGCGTTATGTCAATTAATACCTAACAGACTGATGTCTTCAAGCTTTATTTCTGTTCGTTATGATATTCAGCTGCCAGCCAATGAAAACATACTTAGGATGAGAATATGGACATCTTAAATCAGAAAAATGTGCTTAATGAAAATATGTTTAATTTCTGCTTGGAGATTGTTATTTTCATTTCAACACAAATTCTGATTTTTGTATATGACTGTATGACAAGGCAGCTGAATGACGATTCAGTCAGCTGATGTAAGCCTGGCTGCAGTACAGTAAAACTATTTTTTTATGGTGCGACAGGAAATCTTTGCACTGGTCTTGGAGTGAAGAAGAAGAAGAAGATGATGTATGTGACCACAAAAAATGCAGGTAAATGTCTGATTTCACTCTTTTTAGTTCTGAAAATGTACATTTCTTCCCCGAGCCCTTCTGAAATGTTCCTTTTTATTAACTTGCTTACCTCCTTTCCTTTAACCATTCATCTCATTCCTAGAGTTTGACAGACATGAAATCCTGCTGTATGAGGAGGTGGCCAAGGTTCCACCATTCAAAAGAAAAACTCTGGTTTTAATTGGAGCTCAGGGCGTTGGAAGGCGGAGACTAAAGGCCAAGCTGCTGCTGAGGGATCCGCAGCTCTTCGGCACCACCATCCCATGTAGGAAACCCGACGGCTTTCAGCGATTCCATTATTTGACTTGAAGACAACAAGTATGGTTCTTCTAAACATCTTGAAATAACTGTGTTTTTGTGTGTATCTAGACACCTCCAGAAAGCCTAAAAAGGGAGAACGTGAGAGTCGGATGTACGCTTTCACAAGTCGCAATAAGATGGAGGCTGACGTCAAGAATGGCCGTTATCTTGAATTTGGAGAATATGAAGGCAACTTGTATGGTTTAAAGATTGACTCCATCCACGAGGTGGTGGAGGCGGGACGCGTCTGCATCCTGGATGCCAACCCACAGGTTTGCAGACACATTCGCCTTCTCCTTGGGATTTTAAAACCATTAAAACTTTATTGAAAACATGCTTTTTACATTCTTGATAAAACTGTCGCTCCGTCGTGACAGTATCTCTTGTTATATTTACATGATCTTAAAATTTGTTTTAGGATCTGAAACATCTGAGTGTAATTAAGCTTCAAAAACATCTAACAGAAGAACAGAAAACCCAACGAGAAGCTGGGGTCTAAACTCTTCTGGCTTCTCGTGTGGTTCAGAAAAAAATCACAGGAAAAGTGTTAACTTTCATACAATGTTAGTTAAAATCTTATGTGTCCATTTACTCTGTACGTTGCTTCTAGTCTCTCAAAGTGCTGCGGACCTCGGAGTTCTTGCCCTATGTGGTTTTCCTACAGTCTCCTGATTTTGAGGTGCTGAAGGCGATGAATCACTCGGCTGTAGAGGCTGGGGTGGTCACAAAGGCCCTGACAGTATGAGCAAAATGAACCTTTTCTCTTATAGAGCACTAAAAATTTTGTGTCAAAGAAGTGTGCAGAGAGCCAATCTGTGTGTTCTATGTTACAGGACGAAGAGCTGCAGAGGACATGTGATGAGAGTGCTAAAATCCAGGCCGCCTTTGGTCACTTCTTTGACCTCACCATCATCAATGAGAACCTTGATGAGACTTATCGCACAGTCAAAGCAGCTCTGGAAACAGTTTCCAAAAACCCACAGTGGGTCCCAGTCACATGGGTGTTCTAAGACCTGAGAACTACGCATGTTTCAATTTTCAAGACTCACGGTTTCATCAGTTTCAACAGACATCTGGCATAGCATAGATCAGACATCCTGGACCAAATGCTCCTGGACCACAGCAGGAACTGTGTGTGTAGAATAAAACTGTCTTATTGCAGAACTTAGTGTGTTGGATGGTAAATGCTTGGTTGGCTTCAGGTGCACTAAAGTCTCAAAAAAGTTTTTGGATGATTTTAAGTCTTCTTAGAAAGACTTTGTGCATGCTCGTGCATGCATCTGTGACCCATCTTGGCAGTGTTGTAGTACTCCAGACCCGTCTTGGCAGTGTTGTAGTACTCCAGACCCGTCTTGGCAGTGTTGTAGTACTCCAGACCCGTCTTGGCAGTGTTGTAGTACTCCAGACCCGTCTTGGCAGAGTTGTAGTACTCCAGACCCGTCTTAGCAGTGTTGTAGTACTCCAGACCCGTCTTGGCAGTGTTGTAGTACTCCAGACCCGTCTTGGCAGTGTTGTAGTACTCCAGACCCGTCTTGGCAGAGTTGTAGTACTCCAGACCTGTCTTGGTCTCGAGACCTTTTTTTTTTATGGTCTCGGTCTTGTCTCAGTCTCGGGCACTGAGGACTCTGGATTTTATTTCAAGACCAATCAAGACTGCAACAGTGGAAATAGCATTAAACTTTCCTCATGTAAACAATAAGATGCAGGGGGGCTATATTTGTAAATCTGATTATTAAGTCAGTCCCTCACCAGCTATGAACTTCACTGCACATCACTGCTCTATTGCTATGTTTAATGGTGCAGAGAGTGGTGATTTCTGACATGAGTATTATGGCCAAATGCCCAGGGCATTTTCTCTTTAGATAAGCAGAACTCTTTGTTCTACTTATCTAAAGAGATACGCAGAAGTTATCTTCTTAAAAGGTGTTTTTATGAGAATGTGAGTCTTTCAAATCAATTTGATTAGCAATTTTGATCATATTTCACATTTTATTGTGTCATGTAGCACGAAGCGCTGGTCTTGGTCTTTACTCGGTCTCGGACTCTGAAAGTCTTGGTCTTGTCTCGGTCTCGGTTTAGGTGGTATTGACTACAACACTGCCCTGAGGACTTCAGAACTTTCTATTTTTACATTTTTCTTGCAAACTTCAGAGATTTGTTTTTTTTCCATTGGTTACATATCATAAAGGAGGTCAGACCTTTTGGGGTCAAAATGTGCCAAGAGATTCATTTCAGCCAGAAAACGGATCCTGCCAACTAATATCAAATATTTTTCTACTTTCTGTTAACGTACAAATTTCTTGGATATTCATACATAATAATGTACCAGACTAACCCTTATTTAAACCATGTGTTGCTCTATCAATCTCCACCATAAATTCCAATATGGCTTCTGCTCATGTGAACTACAGCCTTAGCAGCAGTAATAGGCTTTTATTGAATAATCATTAGGTTTTTAGCTCATTAAGACAGACAAGCAACATCTGGTGGTGAACATATTGGTGCAGTGATGATACAAAACACAGAGAAGCACGTCGTTTTGCTAACTGAGTGTAGCAGCTAGCGTATTCCTCTGGATAGCACTCCTTCAGAGGCCTTCCATGCCTCAGTGGATCAGGGTTGTTTTGTTAGGAAAAGCTGGTAGTCAGACACTGTATGCTTGTAATATATTTAAGGATACCGAGTTTCTTAATGCAGTTTAGCATTTTTTAATATGTTACAGAAGCAGTAAGGTGGTAAAGTCATTGTGAAATGTAATTTTTTTTCATTGCAAAGACAGCAGCAGATAGTCAGAAGCAACTTTTTCTAGTATAACCCTTCTGTTGAGATGGAAATAAAGAAGTTAGAGTTTTTTTTCCAGTAGCTGGACAGAGTATCATTTACATGGGAATTCTATTAACCCAAAGCATGTGACATAATATTGTTAAGATCTTGCAGATGGTCAGAATATACAAAACTGATTTATGTAATTTAAATAACTGAGGCATTAGATGTTGTCAACTCTTCTGTCTGTCTAATGATTTGCTGCCACGTGGATTTGTGAAACAAATCTAGTGAACATAAACTGCATTTGAAAGAAACTCTTTCAATGTGAGTCAGCCGTAAAACTAATTGAGCCAGTTAAAACAAGTCACAGTCTGAATGCTTTCAGCCATCCCATAATGCTGCCTTACTCTCTGATTATGTGACTTTACAAACTGTAACGCTGCAAAACTGCCAAGGACTCAGACCGTAACACAGATCGGCAGAGCAGCAGAGCTTCTGAGAACTGACATGTTACACAGTTTGGACTCTCATAGAAACTCTGCAGTGTTGTGCTCCTTAACAACGCTGTGTCGCTTTAAAACTGTCCGTCATTCCCAGCTGACACTTTTATGTTGCACTGATCCCGATCTGTTTAACTAGATCCCCTCTTTTTGTAGATAGCTTGTACATACACAATGGTATAATAGGTATTTATATTGGTTTAAATGTCCAGAAGGCCATTTTTAAATATATGCTTATAACCCATGAGTGTATAACACAAGATCTATGTTGTTCCTTCTGACGTTCCCACCTCTATTTGCCGCACCAGCTGCGTTTCCATTTCGCAGCTGTTTTGCTCAAACAGCAAATGTCGTATTTGAACAAAACATTGTTGATATTTTGCCAATGAAAAAAAAAGCTCAATTTTGCAATTGTGATATTTCCATTAAATAAGAAACACAATTAAATTCACACATGAATAGGTTTGTTCATGCAATAAGTAACTTTGATACCGGCAAAAAAATCACCTCATCGCAGAACAAAAGCTTTTGATCAAAAACCGTAACTTTCCAGTAAACAAATTTATTTTCGTAATTCCAATTTTTTGCAATTATGTGGTCAATGGAAACGCAGCTTCTGATCATGGTTCTGACTGGCAGCTTCTGGAAGATTTTAACGCACAATGTCAATTCACAAACAAGAAAATCTGGTGCTTGTTAAAAACTGATTGTTAACTGGCAGCGGTTGCTTCAGTTCCTTTTGGGAAGAGATTTTTAGTTACTATCTATGCTTTATTTCCTGAATGTTGCTTAAGAACAGATGTTTATCTGGGAGCTTTTCGGTTCCGATCACCTGGAAAGTTTGACTTCATCATTATTGCTCTTCTGAAGACAAAACCTCACTCAATTTTTTTAAATAAAATAGATGCAATACAGACATTTTTTCCTTTATCTTTATGAATGTTGGTACATCTTAGGACAGAAGCAGTTTTTTTTCATTCTGTTTTGTAACTGATAATTTCCTGTATAAATTCAAGCAAGAAGTGTCTTCAAATAGAAGTTTACAGTACATATCTCTTCCAGTATATATACTCCATAGTGTATACAGTGAAGATGGTACAAATCTATCTATGTATTTGATATGAACTGAAACATTCCATAATATTATGTAATACTTGTTCAAATGATGACACGATGTGTATTATTTCTTGACAATTTGGATGATTTTGTATTAGAGATGTGTTGAGCAGCATTGTGTTGTCAATTTGCTGTTCAGTAAAGCTTTGATTTGTTCATAAAAATTTTGTAGACTCTGGTTAAGTACTATAATATCAGGAGATACTGAAAACACTATTCAAAACATTTTTTGGTCAATATATTTATCTTGGGATCAGAGGCGACACTGGGTGAGAGCAGTTCCAATAAATGTTGTATTGTTCTATAAAGATCAAATAGTTATGAGTTCTTTTCCATCTTTCAGAGGCCAATAGCTGCACAATAACTGCACTATTTTCCAGTGTGTAGGAAACTGAAAGTCTGTGATTTCCAAAAGGCTGTCAGTGTTTTCAGAATCATAACTTTCCATAAATAAATGCTTTAAAGAATAAAGCAGAGCTACTTTGCTGTCGTCCATTTTCCCTCCTGTTATCTGCTAGGCTGGAGTCCAGAGATGCCTCTGTTTTAAACCAACCATATTTAACTACTTAATTATAAATATGGATCTGAAGTTCATTCAAATGGGAAAGAATGAGCCATTTTAATTTCCCTGCTGCTCCTGGTTCAGTTCATATGAAATTATTGAATCATATTGATGTTTTGCTCCACTCTCACTCTCACAGATGGACATTAATTCAAACATCTTACTGACACTGGAAATTTATTTTTGAGTTTCCGACTGGCTGGTCAAACAGAAAAATCCTCCATTTCCTGTCGACAACCGATATCTCAGTGCATTTTTATAACTTGTTATAGTCAAAAAACTACAAACTGTTACAAGTATGATGAATGAAAAACATATTTTGTTTTACTGTAAATGTATAATACTGGATTAAGCCTGATTTTTATTTTTTATTTTTTGTTTATCATTATGCTTTAATCTTTTCAAAATAAATTATTGGTTTGATTTTAAATGTGTGATTTTCTTCTGTCTTAGAACATATTACTGAAAATCATGCAGAACTTTTATATGTATACTTTATATTTTGATGGAACAGTTTTATCAGCATGTCCAGAGGGAGAATAAAATGTCCTGGACTCAATCTGACTGTGTGGGTTTGCATCGTCTCTTCATGCATTTCCTCTGGCTACCTCAGTTTTGGTCTTTTTTCAAAGAGCCAATAAGATGAGATAACATATTTTGATTTGTGATGTATTTTATCAAAGAACTTTTGAAGAATGGGCTTTGCAGACTGATATTTGTGGAAGGAAGAACACTTACCTTTATCTTCAGGCGGTTCAGTAATGAGGGGCGGTTCATGAGGGGGGTTTTATGAGGACTCCACCCTGCAGGTCTGATGAACAAGCTGCTCTTTTTTCCCCGCTGGTCTCATGTCTTGCCGTAAAGAATCTTCTCTACCGTTCTCAAAGTCCTGATAGTCACATGTTTTACCACATTTTACTGACTTCTTGATGTGAATAACCATTAATCCTCTCCCTTTCACTACTTCCAAACTGAGACTTCTTGCAGTTTTTCGCCTTTGTGACGGTTCTGCTCTTCCTCTTACCACAGTGAATGCTTTGACCTTCGTCTCATCTCCTCTGCATTCCTTCTTCTGATCTTTGTCAGAGTAAACTTCTCCTCTGCCATGTGGTTGTGGGTGTTTGCTGTCCTGAGTTGTCTGTTGGTGGCGCTGGTCATCATCTTGTTATTGATCTCTGCGAAGCGCTATAAGGTATTCAGTGAAAAGTGTCTGAGACCCCCTGGACCGCTGGTCACCAACAGAAACGAGAGGGATGCCAGACTGAAGAAAGGTAAGAGAAAGGAAATGTATGCAAAGAGAAGGCAGTAATGAAGCAATGACTGTAAGCTGCTCTTATTTTTCTGCTATTTTTTTTTTTTTTGACAAGTTGCATTACCGTCGCTGGTACAGTTATATGTTTTGAGAAAAACTTGACAGTCATTTCTATATATTTTTGCAGGTAGCCAGCGACATGAGTGTTCATCTGTAATGACTGGGATCAAGTTCATTTGTATAGCATATTTTAGGAACAAGGCAGTTCATAGAGCGTTGCTTCATAAAAACATCTGGTGCAGCCTAATCCGTCCTATACGTTCCACAATTTATTACTTTAGAATTTACCAGATATTTCCTAAAAAACATGATGATGATACATGATGAGTTTCAGGAGGATTTAGAAAAGTCCTTTGGAAATTATAGAACTTTCATGTCAAGTTCTTGAAAATTTCTGTAAGCAGCCTCTGTGTCCCAGAAAAGCACAGACTTTATGATTTATTTAAGAAAGTTGTTTAATTTTAACATCTTTTTTTAATCAAGCTGATTTTCTGTTTGTTCATTCAACAGAAACAGAAATCTAAAAATTAATATTATGTAAAATATACATTGTACAAAGTGAAAGCAGAATTTATAAGTTTTTTTTTGTAGTTTTAGAAATTGATAATTGGCGGTGTGACGGGACGATCTCGCTTCATTTTCTGCACTCTTCCTGAGCGTCACGCTGAGGCCATTGAATGCTAACGGTTTGAAGTGAAGTTTTTGTCAAGGCCGTCATTAATTTAACATGCTGCTTTCCTTTTTCCTCAAAACTCAGAGAGGGGATTTGATGTCCCACACAAAATAACATCCCAGTTGGGTAAAGTAGCGATTTCAATTAGCTATTGTTCACAATTCCTCCTATTAAAATCATTTTAAGCTGTACTTCTCATATGCAAAACACCACCTTTAATTTATTCAGTTTAGAGCTGCAGGTATGTAATATTGATTTTAGACTTAATCTTTAAATCATGTCATATAAAATAAATGCTTCTACCACCGCTTCCTGTTATTGATGCGAGGAGCGGCCATATTGGATTTCAAAGTCAGCGATTGAAAAATTATATTACTCTCCAAGTGGGAAGTCCGACTTTGGAGGGAGATTCCTGTTCAACTTTTCAACTTGGAAGACAACATTTTCCAGTTCCGACCACAAATGGAATGCAGCGTCATGCTCACAGCCTGACATGACAATGCATTTCCCTCAGGGTTCCGTGCTGACCGGGTTCCACCGGCTCTGGATGTGGTGGTGATTGGCAGCGGCATTGGAGGCTTGGCAGCTGCAGCAATTCTATCCAAAGCTGGGAAGAAAGTGGTCGTTCTGGAGCAGCATGACCTTGCTGGAGGCTGCACACACACTTTCCAAAACAAGGGCTTTGAGTTCGATGTGGGTAGGTTTCCTCCACAAAACACACCTGTACTACAAAGGAAGGTTCAGAAGATACTTCTTTGAGTCAGAATGACTCAGATGTTCTTTGTCTTTATCATAAAGAGATCAAATCAAATCATTGATTTAAAGTTAGTATGGTCTTATAGCTAAAATACAAAAATCAATAAATAAGAACAACCAAAATATAAACTCCACAAAAATAATTAGTTCAAACACAAAAATAAATGAAAAATATCAGTTCAAGATATATCTAAGTGATCTGTTTAAAAGGTTAAAAATACCTCAGGTCCTTCTTGTCCTGCTTCCATCAGGGATCCATTATCTGGGCCAACTTCATGAGAACAGCCTGCTGAGGGTCGCTTTGGATCAGATCACTGAGGGACAGCTGCAGTTTGTCAAACTGGAACAACATTATGACACTGTGCTTCTTGGACCGCCCGGCCATTGCAGGTATTCCATGTTATCATCAACGTGATATTTTGTCCTGTAAGACGTTCTATCCATGGCACTTTTCGTAATGTAGCTGAAAGGTCATGTTTATGAAGGATGTTGCTCTTGTAACATCCTTTGAAACCATCTACATTACTGAATAATGTTTCATTCCAGCAATAGTTTCATCACATGTTTCCAGCCAGGAAGCCGTTCCACCACCAGAACTAAACCTGAATATCCTGTCTGCCTTTAGGGAGTATCATATTCACGCAGGGAAAACTGAGATGGCAGATTCCTTGAAGAAGCAGTTCCCAGAAGAAGAGGAAGCCATTGATGAGTTTATGAAACTGATGAAGGTGTGTGTGTGAGAGTGATATCCATAATGATCCGGACATGAGAGTCAGTTATAAAGTGCTGCAAGTGGACTGAGTAAAACCAGCACACAGGCATATAAGAATCCCTCTTTCTCTCCACATGTAACAATGGTCATGATGGCCATTGCTCCATACACTAACCTCTGGTGGATACTTTAGTCCCATTGGACCAGAGGACATGTCTCCAAATAAAACTTTTTTTACCCTGTAAATATTTGCAGAATGTAATCTGGATTTTCACATTTTGGACCAAAGACATGTCCAGCAGAGTGTTCCAGTTGTGGCCTGGAAGTTTGGTCTGATTTAACTGCAGACAGTGAGAGAAAAGTTGCATGTAAACTTTTGGTTTCCGCTGCATTAATGAACTTTTAATCAGTGGACACTCGACCCAGGCACTTGGTCTCAACCTCTCAGTAGATATGCCTGTGAGATTTATGTTGCTACATGCTCAAATAAGAAACATCTAATAGCTGTTTATATGATGCTGAATGTCACTGCTACGTTTGCTGCTGTACTACTGCAGTGTTTATACTGAAAGCCGTGGTGGTGGTGGTCACTCTAGCTGACTTCCTAGAAGGAGCTCTTTTAAAATTGTCAAGCTTCATCTCTGAATGAACAACTGTTTGACAGGAAAGCATAACTCTTACAAATAATCTGGACTCTGCCCTTCTGCAGTATGCTTCTCGGAGAACTCCACTTATTGCCATTTTGAAGATCCTGCCCTACCTGGTGGTAAACTTTCTGATTTGGACTGGCCTGTTGGACAGAGTATTTCCTGTGTCTCGCCTAGCAACAACCAGCCATTCAGAGATGATGTCCCGACTCACTCAGAACAAGGACCTGCAGGCTCTCTCTGCCTACTTTTTCTATGGTGCTCATCACTTCCAGACCTCAGCTTATCAGCTGTGTGCTGCACAAATGGCTCACGGCTCTTGTGTTCTGTCATCTCTAGGTGTCCCTCCTAAAGAGTCCAGCTTCCTAATCAATGCACTTCTTCTCCACCACTACAAACGTGGAGCGTACTACCCGTATGGGGGGGCCAGTGAAATTGCCTTCCACATCGTTCCAGTCATTCAGCAGGCAGGCGGTGACGTGTTGGTCAGGGCGCCTGTCCAACGCATCCTCATCAACAGCCAGGGGAAGGCCTGTGGTGAGCCTTTCGTCAAGTTTTGGTAAACTTTAAGAATAACACTTCAATGTTATCTACATACAAGTTAAAGCAAAATGCTAGAGACCACATTTGGATTGACTCGGTTTGTTCAGGCAGAAAATGCATTAGAAATTTAAATTGTTTGCTGAAAATTTCCTGGGCTTAATCTCAAGATTTCTGAGTTTTATTTATTTTTGGCAGGAATTAGTGTGCAACAGGCTATCTCATAATTTTCTCTGGATCAATAAAGTACCACCTAAATTTACCACCTAAATTTAACATGGCCAGAGTGCAAACAACTGCTGCCCAAAAAATATCAACAAGGGAAGATACTGATTGTTTAATGGCTTCTTGAGTTTGTTTTTGGATTCAATCTTCCCTTCAACATATGAAAGAAAACAGAAACTATGCTTCCGTCACTCAAACGTAGTGTTATCAGCTGCTTGATTTGGCTGTCTTTCCTTGTGTGTAACTTCAGGCTAACATCTGCAACATGTTCTAGGTGAGTCACGCTGCACATTTGCTCTAAAATGCCACCATAAAGTATTTTGCATGTTTTCAAGGTGTGACGGTTCTCAAAGGACAACAAGAGATTGAGGTCGTCGCCCCTGTTGTCATTTCTGACGCTGGAATCTTCAACACCTTCCAGAAATTTCTACCACAGCATATTCAGGAAAAACCAGGTAAAATGTTTCCACTAGATTAACTACATGTTTCTGATATTATTTTCTTCATTTGGGATCTCTTGTGTTTGTTGGTATTGTGTGTGTGTGTGTGTGTGTGTGTGTGTGTGTGTGTGTGTGTGTGTGTGTGTGTGTGTAGAAATCCAGTCTCTGCTAGGCATGCTTCGTCATGGTATGGGTTCCTTCTTAGTCTTTGTTGGTCTGGATGGAACCAAGGAAGAGCTGAACATTGTTTCTAAGAACTTCTGGATGTATAAAGGCAACGACTTGGACTCACTGTACGTTTGCTCCTGCATGTTTTATTCTTTTTGACTGAACACTTTACATTGGTTTAATCAGAGTAAGAAAAAGCTTTGCTTCCTCATCTACATACAAAATGTTATGTTTGGAGTTAAAGCGGCATTGAACATCATCCTGAACTCAGAAGGAAACGGCTCTGGCAGCATCAAGCTTTTCTTTAGCAGGGGCAGGGAATCTGGTCAGAATTGATGGGAAGACTGAGAGAGAAAAATAAGGACAATCCTGAAACATACAGCCAGAGCTCAAAGTATTATGCATTAGAATGGCGTAGTCAAAGTCTAGGCCTAAATCCAACTCCAAATCTGATGCAAGGTTTAAAAATTGATTGAAACAAACACTCTAGGTACATTCTGATTGAATTGGAGCTACTTAGGAAAGAAGAATGGGAAATATTTTGTCTCTCTACCTTCAGACATAAAGCGAAGACTCACAGCTGCAAACGACATGAAGAACAACTCCACAAAGTCTTGACTCAGTTTGGATTTCATTTCCAAAAAAACCTTTGACAGCCATGTATCATTTTACTTTCACTTCATGGTTCTGCACTGTTCATGTTTGTTTGTCTTGTAAAGTCTTGGTAAAATCTGAAGCTTTATGGGTGTAAAATCTGGAAAGGTTTAAGGGGTATAAACATTTCAAGAAAGACATATAATAATAATGTATTGCTCATGTCTCTGTGTTTGGGGGCATGTTGCCGCGGCTGCAGTATGGAGGCGTATTCTTCTCTGAACAGAGAGCAGGTGTTAGGAAACATACCCATGATGTTCATCACCTTCCCATCGGCTAAAGATCCAACAGCCGCCATCAGACACCCAGGTAACACATTCACCCTCCAGGACCGCTGTGAATTCCTGAGAGAAGTCTTTCACTGCAGTGTTTTTGCTTAATCTGACCCACAGATTTCAAAATCCTCCTTTTCCACATGTTGCTCTTCTGTATTCTCCTGTTTGTACAGGTAAGTCCTGTATGACGTTACTCACCATGGCCCGCTATGAGTGGTTTGAGGATTGGAAAGAGACCAAAGTTGGCAAGAGGGGTCCAGAATACCTGGACCTGAAAAACAGCATGGCCCAAGAGTTGCTGGAATGGGCTCTAAGCATTTTCCCTCAACTTCGAAATAAGGTGAGTCATTGCATAAATTTGCCCCTTATCAGTAAGAAAAGAGAGAAAATTTATTTGTGAGGTAATTCCTCTGCTAACTGTTATTTAAAAAGAATGCTAATTTCCACCTGAAGCCCCTGAACAGGTTGATGGTAATAGATTATCATTTAACAGAGGATGAAGTGGTGAAATGACAGTTTAGTAGATAATTCAATACATGTCAGATAAAACCAAGCAAACCAAACTACAAACCAACAGACAACCTATAAAACAATTTCTTTCCTTTCATCAATAATGAGTGCAAATCTGCTCATCTAACATCAAGACCACCGATACCAGCTTTCTCCATTTGATCACCTGATTATTAAAAAAAGCTAATTGTGTACATCTCTTTATCAGAAACAATAAAAAAAAAAAAAAGATTTTAAAAAATCTGAGTTTTTGAAGAAATAAACAAAACAATTCATGTATTTCTACATTTTGGATTTTATTTTATTTTTTGTCAAATCAGTAATCACACAGTGGACCAGATCAGCCTTACATTCATCTGAAGTTGAATTTACATCAGTGTGTTTTCACAACAATTTCTTAAACTAGCGATCAAGATGGCTTCATAACTTTTCATCACAAATTATGTCCCAGCTATGTTAGAAGAATGTACAACATTTAACTTTGATATCTATCTATGGAAGTAGCCGGTAGTTATACATATAAAGCTAATGTCCAGTAGTGGAATTAAATAGGTGAAATGACCTGCTTGCATAGGTGCATAGGTGTTCAGCTTGAACTTCTATCTGAATGGAGCCTCATTTGTTCCTGGAGACAAATTATGGCTGAAAATTATGGCTGAAAAATGTGTTTGGTGTTGGTTTTGTCTGTTGTTGTAAGACCCTGTGTATGATTGTGTTCAGGTGGTCATGGTGGAAGCTGCTACACCTCTAACTAATGTCCACTATCTGGGCGCTCCAAGAGGTGAGATGTACGGTGTAGAGCACAACCTGGAGCGCTTCGGTCCCGAAACATCTGCGAAGACACGACCACAGACCCCCGTCAACGGATTGTACCTCACAGGTAGCACGATCAACACCGCGCAGCAGATTGACCATGGTGTATCAATAACAATAACTGTGCAATTTTTTACATGGCTGGAGTAAACAATTGCACACACTGTGGATAATGACAGTCTTCTACTAGCTTTAGCTAGCATCGCCCCAAAATGTACTGGTTCTGTTTTTGATTCAAATATTTAACACCAGAGTATCTGACAGAAAACAGAACCCTGTTTGATGTGTGATGGTTGGGCATCACCATTATTATGATATTGATACCTGTGTTTGAATTGTTTGAATAGATGAATGTGAAACCTTCAATTATCTGAAACTGGACCAAACCAGATGTTTGGACTCTTTTCTTTGTGATATCTTCGCTGATTCCGTTTGGCTTTTCCATGTCAAACTGCTTCATGGAAGCAGTGGGTTTGAAGTGTTGCCCTAAATACATCCACAGGTGTGACTCCAATCAACTTGGTTGTTATAAATTAGCTGCTAAAGTATCAGCTCAAATTCCTCACAGGCATTCCAAAACAGCTTTAGAGTATATTATTTTAGCTTGTGAAAGGTTGAGACTTTGAAGAAAATAAGAAGAAATCTTATAATTGTGGCATATGACAAGAAGAAAAAAAGTGTGGCAATGCTAATTGGCCAGAAATAGGAAATGTTTACCTTGAGTTAATGTTAGACATAAAGGGGGAGAAGGTTTGCTTTTATCATATGGCATATTATGTAAATGACTGGTTTCAATTGAAGGAGAACATCTAAGGAAACTCTGCTGATTCCACAGAGTTGTTGACCCACCTCAACTACGACTTTGCATTTTAGTACCATTATAATCACAAATCAACTATGGAGGTTGTTTCTATAACACCTTTATAGGACCTAGAGTCTGATTCTTCATGTCATTGTGTGTGTTCAGGTCAGGATGTCTTCTGCAATGGCTTGGCTGGGGCCCTGCACGGCGGACTGCTCTGTGCCTCTGCTGTCCTCAACCAAATTCTCTACATCGACCTTGTTGCTCTGAAGACTCGCCTCAAGCACCGGAACACCAAGAAGAAGAAGACCTTGTAGAAGCACAGGAGCACCCAAAGCAGAACAAATGTTTTGGATTTTAATGTTTTAGTGGTCCTTTATGCGCTTCAGATATGCTTAGAGTGCCTGAAGGCTTGTTGAAAGACGAGGCAGACTAGAGCTTCAGAGGCTCTCTAGTTCCTCATAATCCTTTTCCCTTTAGAAACGTGTTGTCAATAAACATTTAAGATTCACACTGACAGATATATCTTGGTTTGGTTCTTCCACACTTTTATCATGTCCAGTATCCTTTTCTTTTATTGAGCAATCGAAACCAAGGCCTTTACTTGTATGATGTTTATCCAGTCCAGACGACCCCAAACGCTTCACACTACATTCACCTATTCACACACACACACATACACACCCCCACACACACACACACCCACACATACACACACACACACACACACACACACACACACACACACACACCACCCACACACACACACACACACACACACACACACACACACACACACACACACACACACACACATTCACACCCCCCCCCCCCCCACACACACACACACACACTGCCCTGTGGCAGTCTGAAAGAGAAGAAGCTGCCATGACGGAGCCACCTGAAGTTTCTTTCCCCAGGACACAACGGCGATGACTGAGTCGGACAGAGTGGTTGTTACAGGACAAACATTAATAATAATAATAATAATAATAATAATAATAATAATAATAATAATAATAATAAATAATAATAATAATAAAGCACAGTGTTGACATTTATCCATTCAGTTTTTATGTTTGTTCACAAATATATGTTTATCCTCTCTGATAGTACCACTAACAATATGAGATGTGTTGGTTTCTGTTGGATTATTTCCACCATTTCCATGTTCATAACTTTTCTAATTTTTTCCCTCATCCACTATTGTCTGTCTCCTGTAAGTTTAACAGCTTATCGGTTGTTAAAATTACATAAGGACATAGAATTGATCAAATTTATTTAACAGATGAAGTACTGCTAAAGGAACGAAAAAACTTACTATCATTTCTCTCCACTGGATAATTTTCCAATTAATCCAAAAGTGTTCTCCTTTGTTGACTGCTGCTATGCTATTTTGTCAGGTATTTTTTAAGTTGTTTAAATATTTTCATCTGCCTCTGTCTCTCCCTGACCCAACTGATTGAGCAACCTAGTAATAACAGTTAGAAAAGTAATAGTGGCCTTTACTCAAAATTATTTTGAGTAAAAGACAAAAATTATTGTCTTACATGAGTGATTTCTCGGACAGTTGCTTTTTAAGTTACTTATCCTGAAAGTAGTGCTAGTCTTGAGAACAATTTTTGGTTTCTCTACCCACCTCTTGTCCAGAATAAGAGCTTGACCTCGTGCAGTCAAGCTTTTATTCTGAAAGGATCTCTTTTGTTTAAACACTACCGGTTTGTGCGTGAAAGGGAGAAAAGCGGAACAGAAGGCGTGTTAGTCGAAGGGAACAAAGGGTGACAAAGTGAGTGGGTTAGTAATTTCTTTGTACATACAAAAAAAATTTTAATACTTAAATAAGTCGAATTGAATCCAAATGTGCTGAATGTGCTGGTTTTGGTTAGCTTAGCAGCTAGGTTCGTTGCTGAGCTCTTTCTGGTCTGTTACGTTCTGATAACTGTTAGCTTAGCATCGCTAACATATTGATTCCATTCTTCAGACCAGAGTTAGACTGTTAGTTCAGTTAGCGGACTTAATTTGCTTCTGTTTATGTTTTTGCGTTTAAGTGGTCGTTTAAATGAACTCTGTTTATGTTTACCGAGGCGCAATTTCCTCCGTGTTAACCCTTCAGCTAGAGGCCTCGCCTATCAGAGTTTGCCTGATTTTCACAAAGTCGACCGTCTTTCATTGATGCTTATCGCAGATATCCAGTAATTTCGAGACCGTTTAGGAGTCCGCGCATAATATGTCTTTAATTTAAACATTTTGGTTCTGATTGTTGTCTTTTAGTGGCTGAAAATGCTGAAGCCTTGGCGCTTATTTTTCTTTTTGCAGTTTACCCAACATGGGGACAGCCTGATCTCTGCAATCCAGAGTCCAGCAAAGATGTCAAGTAAGTATAAACGTGTAAAAACACATTGTTAATGATTTTGATTCTAACATTCCTATTTCCCTTATACTGCTGCAAGGAAACTTCTGTAACAATAATAATACTACAAATAACACAAATGTTAAGCATTTTAATATGAGAAAATATGGGCCTCCTTCCCATGAACCAGCCACTTAGTCATTCAAAAACATAAACAGGTTTGTTTATTTCAGTAATCATTTCTTGTATTTACTTTCTTTGGAGTACAATATTAATAATATACATATGATTACATAATATTACATATTGTGCAGTATTATGCATATTATAGAATATGTATAATATGCTTATAATGCACATATTATACAATATGTATAATGTGTATCATAATATGCATGCACATATTGTGTAAAAGTTGCGATATATGCATATGACTGATCTGGACCTTTTTGTGTAATTAGGAAACAGTATTTTTTTTTATTATTTTTTCTCAATCATTTATTAAATTTTAGCTTAAAATGCGTATTTCTGAGAGTAACATGGAGATATATTTACTTACATTTTTAGTTGAATATAAATATAATGATTTGTTAAATGATTTCAGGAAAAAAAAAGATAATAATGCTTCAAATCCTCCAGCTGTCTGTGGAATATCAGACCTCATGGTCTAATCTGCTGCAGTTTCTGTTTTAACATTAGCATCTATATGTCACACTGTGTGCACTTTTTGACATGTGACTCCAGTGCTGCAGAAACTCAGAGTTTTCTGAGTTTCACAGCTCTTCTTACCAGAAGAGGTTCGCTCTGTTTGTTTCTACTGATCTGAATAAAAAGCAGACGTTCTCCAGGAGAAAAAAGGTTTTCCTCTTTGACCGTCTTACAGTAAAGCGGTGGTGGGGTCAGTGCGACCCTGCCGGACAGCGAACACAGAACACAAACTTGTGTCCAATGGACCTCATCTCTGAACATTTTGTTTTAAAAACCTCACTGATTTTGAAAATGGCTGACAGAAGCTGGTTGCCATTACAAATGTGTTCGCAAATTTGTCAATGTCAAAAAAACACACTTTCCATTAAATAAACGCAGTTATTTAACACGTTGTGAATAAGTTTGCTCCTGTGATAAGTCATTAATAAACATGCAGCGTCCTCATCCTCCAACTGCGTCAGTGGTAACATCTACATCATGTGACTCATGCGATGAGAAAAAAAGTTTTTCTATTGCAATTTTGCAAAATAAACCAACTTTGATACAACCAAAAAAAAAAAAAAAAAACATCTCTTCCTAGCACCAAAATGTAGCACATTTCCTTTGAGTAGATTTATTTTTGAAATGTGAAATTGTGCAATTATATGGTGAGTGGAAACGCAGCTATTGAGTTGCCCTTTCCCTGGCTTGCTTTTAGCTTCCTTTAGTAGCGTCTTGTGGGTTGTGTGAGTGTGAACTGACTATATATATAAAGCAGATATTTTCCTTTTCTCTCTCTGATTTCTGAGTGCAGTAGTAATTCTGAGCAGTATGATCAGACTCAGGTTGTCATGCGTCTCTTTTCTCTGCTCCTGCACAGAGCGCCCATCCTACGCTCCACCTCCCCCTCCCGCCCCAACAACAGTGAGTATCTAACCAGCCTCTGTTCCTCCTAGCTGACTAACAGCTGGGCTGCTGTCCTCTACTTTTTGCTTTTCCATATTCCTTCTCTCTATCTGAACTCACTAAGGTTGCCACAAATCTTGTTCAGCTCTCCATAATCACTTTGGCTCCTGCTTCTTCCCATCTTACAACCATTTCTAGCCTTTTAACAGAATGTAGCTGTTTGAGTCAAGATCTCTATCCTCCTATGTTGGGTAGAAATCTTAGTGAACTTGAGTCAGCGATCTGTTTTTTGTTTTTTTCCCGGCATTTCATTTTCTCGCATTCAGCAGCAAGGTGCAACATTGTGAACGGTTCTGGTCCTGATCCGGGTTTAGTTAAACGGAGTTTGTTCTCCGCAGAAACTGAACCAAGCTTTAATCCTCCATGGAATGTTGACATGTTGTGCTCTCACTCTGAATGCCAGCCTGCTGGCCACTTCTTTCTTTTTTCCCTTGCATGTTGAGGTCATCAAAACAACTGCTCATGTTTTCCACTCCTTTTTGTTTCTTTCTTTTAACTTTTTTTATGTTTGTCCCTCTTCCTCCTCTTGTTTGTGAGCCATTTCTCATTCGTGTTTTGTCTCATTTGTCTTCCATCAGCAAATGCCTTCCACCCCAGGGTTTGTGGGCTACAACCCTTACAGCCATCTGGCCTACAACAACCTCCGGCTGGGAGGGAGCTCCGGAGGCTCCAGCAGGGTAATGAATGGAAGAAGGATTTCAAAATGGGACTTGGAAATTTGGGTGGTGGTGGGGGGAATATGGAATATGATTTGATATGTTATTGACTTTTCAGGGAAGCATTAATTATGTGTGAATGCAAAAAGTTTCTTTGTAACACCCCTTTTTTAATGAGGCTGAATTTATTGTTGAAATAATCTTCAACTAATTTAGTAATTAAAAGGACTATACAGAATACAAAAAGGCCATTTTGCGGAAAAAATAGAACTGTAATTAAGCCAAAACTGTACAGAAATATGGACATTTTGTATTAAGATTAAAAACCAAAAACTTTGTCTGTAAATCTGTTCTACCTAGAACTTCTCACGCAGCAGTTTTAACTTCAGCTGGTTCACATTCTGTTTAGAAAAATTGTCAAATTTTTAATCAGTAAATCCAGTAAATACTCGGTGCATCAGTCCGACACTGCATTGATAATTCCAGCAGAAAGAGCTGAGCTTTGTGCTCCTGTTGATGTCAGAAAGATTTTTAACTGCAGATCCTTTAGTGAACAATCAGTTGTTCACTAAAGGAATGCTGTTATTGCATCTTAGGTAATAGAATGTGTTCTTCTATCAAAAAAGGAGATGAATTCTGTTTACCTGTGACAAAGTGCGGTGCACCATGTTTGCTACTTTAGCATGGCGCTATGTCAGGTGTTTGGGTTGAACCACGCCTGCCCAGTCGGAGTCCAGCTGGAGGTGGAAACATTCGCTTGAATATGCCAGATCATGAAGTGGCTCACTGGCCCGACCCGTATCGTTGGAAATGAGGGCTGAGCCGACCTCTGTGCCCTCCTTGCTGTAGGTTTTGTTA